CTGTTCAGAGAAATCAGAACACCATGAAGCTATCTAGGTGCATTTATAATTTTTCTGAGCTTACTGATCGCTACGTAATTGGTCCTGTTTAAAATATCAATTAAGTTACGGTGTTTCCTTGAAAATTCCTCATTATATAACATAACGAATTTCAATTAATAATAATGCCATCACAATTCTTCCACCATAATTCCCGTACGTTTAAAAACGTTAAAATAAGAATAATGTTATACGTATATGTATAAAAAATCGTTAAGTTCTCGATTCCCCTCACGCATTCGCGCATTACCCTTCATATAATATATATACTCGCGTAGAACGTGATATAAATAATCTCGATATACACCACAGAGACTCCAGAAGTCCATACCTTAAATTTAATGATCATGATAATTACAATTATCAAAGAGTCCGCCATTGAAGATAAAGTCGCGACTTCTGGGAGGCGCGCCGATTAATTCTCCTTTCCCCCAAGAGGCCGGAGATAATCCGGTGAATAACGATCTCACAGAAGAGGATCCAGTATTCATCGCGGCGTTCCGATTTCACTGACCGGTAGTGTTCCAGTATCTACCGTGCCGTAACACACCGCGCGAAGATACCGCGAAAAGACGACCGGACATTCAGCCGAGTTCTCTCTCTCTCTCTCTCTCTCTCTCTCTGTCGGTCATTAAAGAGGCGCGGGGCCGCCTCTAATCGCCGTAGATGGATACCGACCAGCGCTGAAGAGCACTGCGGCATAGGGAGAATTTTGTAATGACGGGCGCCAGGCCACGGCGCTGGTCTTAAAACCAGACGGATGAGTAACCTTTTGGCGGTTTCACGACACCTCTACGCGCCGCGCTAAAATTTCAAATCAAACGCCCTAACATCTCACGAGAGGAAGAAGATCCGACGGCGTGGTGCGACGCAACGGCTTAAGGGCTCCTCGCGTCGGTTCGCGGGAACGCGAATACCTGCGCGATCATTACAGCACGCGGGCGGTTGTTCGTTATTACGGACTGCTATTGCAGACGAGCAAATTGCGCGATGAAATCCTTCCGCAACGCGAGATTCGTTACTTCGACGCGTCTCGCTCGTCAATCTAATGGTAATTTGTAAAGTAAATCGGGACGCTTCAATGCCGTCATTATGTCGAATCTTGCGGCGAGCTTGTGGACTGCGTTAAAACTGCGAGATACAACCGTATTTCGCCATAGGTCCGATGTCCCTCAGACCTGGACAAGCCGGTCTCCCTTCCATCTACGGAATCGGTCTGACCGATTCACGGCGTAAAGGATAATTCATAACGCGCCGACGAAAGGCACCGTTTGGAACGTATCGTTCCAACGTTTATCGCGCGCGGCCTAATAAAATTCCTCGACGAGAGCAAGGCGCGCGTTTCAGCGCGCCGGAGGGAGCGCCAATTATTGTGCTCGCAACGCGTTACTCGAATTGCAACCATGTTATCATAAATATACTTAATTTCTTCGCAATATAATTGATGGTATAACACTACCGCGTCTCTCTATGTAGAAAAACCTCGATAAGAGGAAATGAGAAGTGCTTCCCAGATCCCCCGCTTATTTACAACTATAACATCGTTAATATCGATTAATGAGCCTCTTGACTATAATAAAATTAGCGCTAGCGCGTTTTGTTTATTAAAAGGGTATTCAACTATACAATAGCGCGCGGAGCAGGAGCACGTGCGAGCGTGCTTCGCGATTTCTTCGCGCGCTTCCGACGCGCGACGTCACGATCCGCCGATGACCGATGGGACACGTCGTAGAAGAGCCGCTGAATGAAACGGGCCGTTAAACGCGCACGCCGAAGAATCTCTCTTTCCTCGGCGAATTCTCGGAACGCATCCCTGAACTTTTGTCGGGCGCTTTCGCGTGCAGCGCGAGACCCGCGCATAAATAATGCGCGCCGTACGACGTTTGAGAGAGCGAAATGAGCGACGACGATTGTCCGTCCGGTGGCATCGATTTATGCGTGTACTTCGACCCGACGTGACGTCGACGATTATGGCCGGCGACAGCGGCGGCGACGGCTGCGGGCGATGGCGAGGCGACGGCGTTGCACCGCGCGACGGAACGGTGCGAACGGGCCTTAAACTCCACGCGCTGCATTTTGCGTCGGTATGCATTCCCGCGCGCTCGCGGGAAACACGCAAGAGAAGATACAGATATCTCTCTCCCCCTCCCTCTCTCTCTCTCTCTCGACTCGACTGCGCCACGTGATTGCATGCCGCCGCCACCGCTGTCGCGGCCGCCGCCGCCGCCGCCGCCACGATCGTCGTCGTCGTCGCCGTCGTCATCGTCTCCGTCACCAGCCACTCTGCGCGACTTGCATCCGCAAGTTCGCAGCTGCGGCTGCGGTCTCTCCGTGTCTCTCCGTGGATTTTTAGCGCAGGATTCTTGCCGCGCGTTTGACGCGCGTCGGCTCCGACACACGATAATTGAGTGGCTAAGTGCCGTAGGTGCCTAACCGGCAATTTCTAATATTTCATTTAAATAACGGAGACGAGGCGAAACATGGAAAGCACATTTGTCAACTGACACATTAGGCGCTGAAGAGTTATGAAAGACCCTCATACTTAGACTATTAACCCTATGATATCTGAGAATTGCAATAACTTCCTCCATAACTCAGCATACGTCAAAATAACTCTACTACCTTTAACTGTTATAATCGAGAATAGAGATTGCTTGTGGTTGTATCGACTTTATTTTTCTTTTAAGGGTCATCCAAGAATGCCTTTCCGAATACAGGTAATAAACTAGGATTAGAAACAGTATAAGTGCCAAGCAAGTTTAGAATGTATTTTTCTTTCTCCGCTTATGATGAATCTTTTTGCACCTTACATCGAAACTGTAATGAAATAAATTTAAAGCACAAATAATTCATAATCAAGTAGAAAAATATTAATAGTTCCATATATTTTACATGTATACTATTTTATCTGTGATAATTGAATGACTATAAACGAGCGATAGAATTAATATTATTTTATTTAAACAAGAAAATATTAAGAAAATTTATAAGAAAATATTAGTTGAGTTAAATATAGCTTTGCGTAAATGTAAAGAATTCTTTAAAGCGCGGTACATCATTTATATAATTTCTGTAAAATTTTTGCCATATATTTTTTATATTAAAAAAGATATAAGCTCAACCACTGCGCAGCTGTTTACTGATAAAAAGTTACGAATTGACAAATGAGCTAGTCAGATCTATGTCAGATAGCCATAGAATAATGGAAGATATTTAAGAGAGAATGTATCAAATCATACAAACTTGAAACATGAAAGAGATAGTTTTTCATGTTTTTAACGAATTTCTTTTTCTTTTTTTATTTATGGTTTAAAGTGTTACCTGAACAAGGAGTGTTCGATTTACACCACGCAGATGTAATTTATGAAGAAGAATATTAACTATTACACATTACACGCAACTTCCAAGATTGAATTACTTCAAATTTGACAGCCAATTAGCGACACACCGTAACGAAATACGTAAAACGATACATCTCGTCTGTCGTACACGCAACGTGTAACGCCGAGCTTTGCCGAGCCAGAAGCTGAAGCTTTATAATTATAAACACTATAATGCATTATTAACGTTTTAATTATGCGCGTGCCGCGCTAAATAGTTCAACATAAACACTCGCTTTGCCGTTCTAATATTTTGTTCGACTCATATTTGCGTTACATTCGTTTAATGTCATTAAAAGATCAACTGTCGTTTTATGCAAGCTATTTTATTATTAATTAATAATTAATAACTTATTGGACTATCATTCGGTTTAAAATTCCGTTTCAGGTGTAACAATCAGTTACGCCTTTCCGCTTCATTATTTTACGGTGACAATTATGGCCTTTATCTTCCGTGAGAGATTGCATCGTAATAAAAATACAGAGTCATAATTTTAAAGCTTATGAGGTGCACATATAATCTAAGCAAATGGGTTCGGTTACAGAAGAAAGAAGCGCCCGATGTATTATTGCTTTATCGCTCCTGATAACTTTGTTCTTATCAACAGTAAAGTATAGTTCTTTTTTCAAACTACTCGAGATACAAGCCGTTTCCATTAATTAAAAAAACTAAGAGAATATGAGTAATATTTTCACAATCAGAGATCGATTTAAAAATTTCCAGAGACAACGTATCACACGCATCTCTCGTTACTAATTGGAGCAACACTAACTGGATTTATACTTGGAAGTAAAGTACGTTTAAACTAAATCCAGAATTAATCACCAGACGCGTCGATTTTTTCCAAATCAATTTCTGACAGATAAACTTTAATAATTAGCGTAATTATAATTAATGTAAAGTAAAAATTAATCGACAACGATTACAGTATGTATTTTTTGAACTTTATATTACTAAGTATCAAGTTAAAACAATGCATTGATTATAAAATAGAAGCTCTTTTCAGGCGTCTCTGTGAAACGTCCGTTCGTAATGTAATCGCGTAACGTGAATCATCAAAAATATCGTTACGTGCGCACAAATTCCAGCCGGATGAATTCTCGCGTCTAACCTTCGCACTGTCGCGTGTCACAATTGTTTCCATACGAAACGGAAGTCTTCATACCGCTGGCAAACGTGACTCCGGAGTGTGACTTTCGGCTCGCATTCATGCCGCGTATGTTACCTCGGACTCGGTTACCCGATTCTCCTCCCGTGATAAAAATCGCGCGATTCTTGCATTAAATGAAACTCTGACCGCGCCACACTTTGAGAACGTGAACAGCGCGTTCGGCGCGTTTCGTCGCGTTTCACGTGAGTCATCGGTTTTAGGAGAATTATTATATTATATATACGCAATTGTTTTAAAGAAGAAAGGATGTTTTAAAGAAGAAAGGAACGAAGAAAGGATCGCCTTGGCAGAGTGACGAAAAACCGCTCGGAGAGATATGAGATTATTAAAGCGGAATTAAGTGTCGAAACACGGGCTCCGCGTTTCATCACAGTCATTCGATACCGCTTTTAGCGATACAACATCTTTAAGACACACGTGTACGCAGTTCTGCCCGTGCGTCTCGAAATGTGCCTCTTGAGAAACCGAGATATTTAACGTTAAAGCAGTGCGCGCGAACGCGAACGCGCGTTTCTCGTTGCGGTTCACGTCCCTGATCTAAGACACGTTTCGGGAAAAGCATCTCAATGTTGTGACTTAAATTAGATCTTGGCAAACCCGACGCCGGTCTGCCTCGAAGGCAGGCATTAAACGCGAACTCGAGAATTAGAGAGAGAGAGAGAGATAGCGACGCGAAAATTCACTTACCTTCCAACCGGCACTGCTGTTGTTGTCACCCTTGTCCTTGAAGTAGGACACGTTCTGGACCATCCACTCGTAGATCTGCGAGAGGGTGAGCCGCTGATCGGGCGCGCTGGTGATCGCCTGGGTGATGAGGTCGGCATAGCTCAGATTCCCCCATGCGTTCCTCCTCGATGAGTTCTTCTTCACCGGCAGCAGACCCTGGGCGAGCTGCGCCTGATGGGGCGGCGTGCCGCCCTCGGCGCCCTCCTTCGTGGCCGGCGCGTTACCGTCCACGTACCCTTCCGGCCGCGGTAACGGCCATGTGTTGGACCGCGCGCGGGTCTGCGGCTCGAATCCGGTCTCCAGATCCGGCGAGGTCGAAAACTCGAACGAGACCCCCTTCTTTTGCGCCTGCTGTTGCTGTTGCTGCTGCTGCTGTTGCTGCGACGGGGTCATCGACCCCGACGCCGTGACCGGCACTGAATCCATCATGTTCGCCAGGCCGTGGTCCCGCGAACTTGGGTGAAATTCGCGACCGAGCGTGGGATCGTACGCGTAACTCCCCGACGGCGATCGGTAACCGACGATCGGCGGTGACACCGGGTGGAATCGTTCACGCGCGATCGAAAGGTACGAGTTGGGTTGCGTTTTGGAGTCGCACTATCACTAGTCGTGTTACGTGTGTGTGTGTGTGTGTGTGTGTGTGTGTGTGTGTATGTGTGTGTGTATGTGTGTGAGAAGAGAGAGTACGCGTGCGGCCTTCGTGCGTCACTGTTTGGTTCAAAGGTGCTCGCAGCAGCTTACGCTGGTTCGCGCCGGATTCAAGTCAGTGTGTTGCTGCTGTTGCTGCTGCTGTTGCTGCCACCGCTGTCGTCTCTCAACTCTTTTCAGACACACTGGCGTTCTTCAACACATCACCATCGAACCGGAAACAAGATCGGCCGCGAGATCGGGAAAGAGCGACGTGACGTGCCGCGATGCCAGGCGAGGCGAGGCGAGGCACGGAATCGACGCTCACGCACGCCGGGAGACGAAGCCCCGTGGCCGAGCGACGTTCGACGACGACGTGTTCGCGGGAAGCGAATCGACTGCGACCCTGCGCTCGCGTGCGACTGCCGACGGCGGTGAACCAACTGAGGATTCCGACGGGAGCCGTTCTGCGACCTGCGTGCCGAAAGAGCGCGCGCGAGCGAGAGAAACGTCGGAGTAGAGCGGCAGCGGCGGGGGAGGAGAGCGGCAGGGAAGGAGAGAGAGAGAGAGAGATAGCTGGAACGCGCGCGAAGTGCGGCGAAGCGAGAAGAGAGAAAGAGATAAAGAGAGAGAGAGAGAAAGAAAAGAGGAGAGATAGAGAGAGAGGGAGAGAGATAGAAACAGATAGGCGCTCGGAGCAGCGGAAAGAGGGAACAGACCACGTGGTCAAACTCTGTGTTTACAAGCCGTGCCGTCCGGGGGTCACGTGGCCATGTTTTGATAGGAACTTGGCCCGCTGCACGGAGCGGGTAAATCTACGCTCTACGTCGTCGCTGCCGATGGCTGCCCGGCGCGGTATCGCGGCGTGATTCGCGTGGCGAACACTGATCCTCTCCTCCTGCACGGTCGACTGGCGGCGCGATTTTCGGTAGGGACCGCCGACGGCGCGATCACGATGGCGGTGGTGACCTTTGGTGCCCTCGTTGCCCTTGGAAGACCGTTCCCCCTGATATCTCTCATCGATACCCTCGGATATCCTCCGCGCTGTCGCTCCGCGCGCGCGCGCGCGAGTTCTCTTCTCGCGATCGGGAGTTCCTCGATCGCGCTCCTCGGATTTCTGCCAAACGTTTACACGGGGATGACGTGCGTGTGAGCCCTCCGGACTGAGTCTGTCGTCCGACGGTTGGCCGCGCGTTCCTTCCTTCGCACGAGGAAAATGAGAGAGGATCTGCGAACGCGAAAGCCTATCGCTTCGCTTCGTGACTCGTGAGAAAACGACGATTCGCACGTATCGTACAGGAAAGAAAACCTATTCACTACGTACAACTTGCCGGCAAGGCAGCGCGGCGCATACTGGCGAATTCTTCCGGCCGGCGCTCGGAACCGACCGAGCGGAGCCGAAGTTGGCGAGGAGCGAATTTGCGACGCCTGTCGCCGCACTTCGGCGCGCCGATCGTCCGACGGCGTGGCACGTGAGAGCGAAAGAGAGAGCGAGAGGGTGGGAGAGGAACGAGGAAGAGACAACGCGCGCGAGAGTACTCCTGGCGAGCGGGAGGGAGATGTACGGAGGGTACTCGAGAGCGGCGTAGCTGGTGGGTGTCTCGGCGGCCCCGGCGGGGGTAAGAAATCCGGAGTGGGAGACGGGCGGTGGTGGGGGATAAAGAGAAGGACGAATGGGGGCGAGAGAGACGGCTATAAATTGCAACTTTGTGCAACGTAAAGGGGAGTGGGAGACGAACGAGGGAAAAGGACGGGGTGTTGCAGCGTGACTCGCGGGCGGGAGAGGGATGAAAGAATCAACGATGGAAGGAGGGAGAGTGCAGCGTGCTCTCGTCTAACGGGTGGGCGGGAAAAGGGGTATATGCTGTGCCCCCAGGGTTAGGCATCGCACTGCGCACAGAACCCGCGAGGAGGGAATTCGCACGCGGTGCATCTCTTTCCTGCTTCTCTCTCTCGCTCCTTCTCTTCCTCCCCCTTTGCCTCGCCACCCCCGCCGTCCTCCCCGGCATATCTCTCCTCTCAACCCCGTTTCTCCTCCCGCCATTCCGCCGCGATCGTCCTACGTTCCTCTCGGCTCTCGATTTTGCGGCAACCCTTCCGGTACTTTTTCGTATCGCTGCTCCGCGACTTGTAGAATCCGAAGATTCCCAACGACCGATCGAAATAACTCGGCCTGTTGTTTTCGGTCTGCGTGCCTATCGAATGGTACAGCGTCCTCCGAAAACCATGGAACATTCCTGAATACGTTCGCGAACATTGTTGCATCGCGGCGGCGGCGCGGCGGCCGGATGCGAATTCTTCGTCGAAATATTTGGCGAAAAAAAATTGGAGTCTACTCCGGTTTTTTTTTTTCTTTACGCTTGTAATCGCATAAAGCCTTGAATGATCGTTTTTCACGGTGCAAAGATATTTTTCTCACGTTGCCTCTTACGTTCGAGATTATGTGCATTAAAAAAGAGAAGAGAATATAAAGCAAAGAGGATTTTACATTACAAGATCTTTTGCTTAAGATCAAGAACAAACGAGGTTACACGCGAGAACTGTCGGAAACCATTCTTGCGATTAATATTCACAATTCAACCGAATCGAACGTTTATTTAAATAAATTTGAATCTCAAAAAACTTTACAAAGAATCTCAGTATTTTTGAAGTTATGTATATTCGCGTATGCGTATAGTGTTTTAATGATGATTTTTTTTAAATACACATCTATACCCGTTTTAAAAAGCCCTGATTTAAAAATAGGCTGCACAGTAGACGATTAAGCCGCGCATATCCCAAGTAGCCGTAACTTTTTCTAACTCCGCAGTTATTTTTGACGTGCAGGTTCCGTCGAGGTCATACCCCGAAGTATTCGAAGAGACTGTTTGCCCGCCCTCAAAGACACCGTCAATTAAATTGCACTTTCTGTCACAACAGACCCTTAGGTACTTTTTGCGCGCGCTCTTAATTATTCGTCGATGTTGTCGGGCCGAATAACTTCGGGACCCTCCGCCGTCCTTCAATTCGGCCATTGTCCGAGGTCTGTTGACATAAATCCCACGCGCGCTGAAGATATCCCCCCGGTCCATAAAAAGAAGTCGGCAGCGCCGGTCGCGCTGAAAGGGCAGGTAAATCCGGCCATTGCAGCCCGGTTGAAACAAGAAACGAACGCGCTCGGTGGTGGCCAAACACGCACCGTACACGCGCGTACATATCCGTGTCGACCTGTGCGGGCAGCCTCGACTTAACTTAAGGGACACTGTCACCGCGCGTAATTATGCACTCTGAACCTTCGATTGTCCGGCGGATATCCCCGATATGCACCCATGGCTCAATGTTGTTTGCGCGTGAGCTAAAAACAGCACGCCGTAGCTCACCGCGTCCGTGTGTACATGCAACGGCGCGAACATGCCGCGTGGCTAAAAATAGAAGATGAATGGATTCTTAAGGACTACCTGATCGAGTAATTGTGCAAACAATTTGGATTGCCGCAACGGACTGTAGCGTGATTGTAAATTACACTTGTATAATGGGGCTGTATTAGTTTAAGTTTATTTGATTTATACCGACAATAAATCACTACAGCCCTTGCCATTCATTAATCCGAAAAAGAACCGAGACTGCTAAAATAGCATGTAGTATTATGTAAAGAAAATGTAATTCGATAATGGCGGTAAAAACTCAATGACGAAATCCAAACAACATGTTGATGTGTAATCAATGTTAAAAATTTTTTTTTAATTCAAGAAAAAATGTAATACACTTGTTATTAATACAAATAATAATACAATAAAATTTTAGATCTCTCAGTTTCTATACCGACTTATCCGAGTTTCTGTTTCATTTACTGAAATTTCAAAATGTACATTTCTCACTCAATTTCCTTCTTGACTATCAGACTGTCGTCAGAGATTGCTTAAGCATATTTATTTAAGAACTACCTACAATTTTTAATACGGGAATTTAGAGGATATGTAACGCAATAATGACGAATTAACGAAAGTTACAAAAACGTACAAAGTTTTTGGACGATTCTAGATTTTTATTTCGACTGTACTCACTCTCATGGGATGCCTTCGATTCATGCCGATCCCTAAGCATGCATCTCCTTCGCGCAGAGCTGAGATACGCGCTGGATAATAAAGAACTAAAGAACACGATTTTAGCATCCTTAAGTAGTCCGCAACCTAATCATTTTCAAGTATCGTCCCGATTAAACGTGTCCAAAAAGGCGCATAAGAAACATACAAGCTGTTTACTTCGGGAACAGCATTATAACTTGGACTTTTAAATCTTTTTAAACTGCCGTACCTCGTTGCATATGTAATCTTATCATATACTTTTAAATTTATTCGAATGAACATCAAGCACCGAGGCAATTGATTCTGAGTTTCGTATACGTGTTGCTAATTGATGAGCATTAAGCAATGGACATAAATATCCCAGATTCTTATATTTTCAGATTTACATTCGCAAGATGTTTAACGCCAGGAGTGCATACATCTGGTTTTCATCTCATATTAATGTTTAAACTACGTCGAATACGTAAATTAAACTCTGGCGTCGAATGTGTAGCATAGATATACGAACTACTGCGTCTTAAAAAGTATAATTTTAATGTCCTTCAAATGTGCAAGACGTAGAATGTTACCTGAATGTGTAATATCAGTCTGTTACTTCGATCGCCATAATACCATTTGAGATTCTCTACATAAAAAATTAGGGTTGCGGCATGTTTTACGGGCGGCCGTTTCTCCCGAAAAGTGGATCTTTCGGGGCGAGGAGAATCATTCCGAGGTCCTAAGTGCGAGACTTTATCGTGTGAAATTGCACATACGGAGAAAATTAAGGCGAAGTGAAAGAAAGCTCTAGCTGCCGGTAACTCTCGACCATTAGAGGCTCTTCCGCGAGGAAGAGGGAGAGGGTAGGGAGGCGGGAGGGAGCAAGGATAAGTTCGGACTATCAATTACATCAACCCAATTCCGGAGCTTACTTTACGCCGAATCGAATCCGGCCCAGTCTGCTAAATTTGTTACGCTAACGAGCGTTGCACTCGTCGAGTTGCTACCGCCGCTGTGTGTAACTTTTTGTTTAGTTGGCTATGAAAATAAACGCGAATTACGACGTTCGTTAACTCGATCGGTGGCTATCACGGGTCGATAGTTCGCGTATGCAACGCGCATCTCGCATTGCTAAGTTAGGATAGTGCAGTTGTCTATGAAGTTTCCATGGGGCTGAACATGTAATTGGATCGTGTATGTGTGTGTGTTTATTTGTATAATTAATGCCAATAATTAAAATACAAAGAATCTGTTTGATTCTTTTCAACTATTTTATATGGATATTATAGCATATATTATAGCTATTATGGGAAGAATCTGGTTCAATCTAAAACAGTGCATTGCAAAGAGTGTCACTTGGACATTTCAGTTTTCATCGTGTCAGAATTTTATTTTATTAGTTTTCTGTGCGATATAGATGGCAGATTTCGCTGTTGATGCGATACGTAAAACATTAACAGATAATCGCCGTAAATAGTTTTTAAAAATATATATATTAAATATTTTATATCAGTTAAAAAAGGAAAAGTTGTCCTTAATAAGATAATCCTAATTTCGACTTCACACATCTAATAAAATATTAATAGATTATACATTATTGTCCGCACAAAATAATTTTTTAATGTGTTTTTATTTAATTTCTTCTCATAAAAAGTGATAAGCTATCTTGAAAATGCCTGACATTCGTGAAAATAAGCTCCTAATTATTTTATTCTATTTTCCATTAGTTTTAATTTGTTTATTATTGATGTGTAATATATCTACTACGGAGGATAACGCGCTTGCTTCCTTTTCTCAATTTCAAATTGCAGAACGCACAAATTTGTATTGTGTAGCTTCTGAAGGTTCTGTGATTCCTACATTATTCATTGCTGATCAAATCAACACGCTAAAACGGATATTTGTGCGCATTTTTTATATTAACATTTTTCATCGGTCCAACACACATATTTTACTAAAATTTACATTATATACATCATATATTTTTAATATGAAAAATGTGTAACAGCAGCAGATACCATTACACGACCATGCTGGTCGGTAGATGGCGATGGCGGCTTGTCTGACAACCAGGCAGCAGGCAAAGGCGCCTTTTACACAGCTGCTTGAATGGGAGAACGAACCGGCTGCTCGGCGACTAGTTGCCAGACCGGCCGGCACTTCGCGTACCATCGTCGCGGCGCGCGGTACGTTCGCACCGACGCGCGTCGTCGTTTCGCGCGTTTCCCGCGTCCCTTCCGCGATTCAACCGCATATATCTCGTCCCGTAAAGAAGTTCTCGCGCGAAAGAATCAGGTGGCGGCATTTTCGAAGAATCCGCGATGTCGCACACATACGTCTTACGAAATTCGAATGTCGGCTCGTGACGCGCCGCGTGTTGTTCCGATCTCTCGTGATACGATTACACAGGAGTGCGGAGTGAAAGTGTTGGGAGAATAGGAAAAGAGAAAAAAAAGAAAACTGAGTCGCGGCGACTCGGAAGGATATAAGAGGGAATATACGACGGTTCGACAGTGAACGAGAGGAAACCAGCGGCAAACACCGCGCGCAGCATGAAGTCGTGCCGGCGGCACGGAGGGTCCGCGGAATTCGGCCGATTTCGCGGATCGGCGTGCGGCGATGCGGTGCACCGGTGATGAGGGAGAATCGACGCTGAAGTGTGTTATGCGCGAGTGCGGTCGTTCGGGGGTACGTTGTCCAGCAGCAAGCCGCCGGTACCGACGTCGTGATGCCGTTCGTGATGCGGAAGATAGAGCCGCGGCACGTGTGCCGCGGCCACGTGCCGGCGGGCTCGCATCCGGGCTGGCCGGTGGGCGCCGAGCTCGAGGCGGTGGCGAACGGCGCCCTCACGAGCTCCCTCAAGCAATTGGCCTCCCTCCTGACCGTCGCGGAGGATATCTTCGCGGGCCTCACCGCCGAGCTAGCCCAGGTCGCCGAAAGAAGCGGACACCTACGTCGCAAGCTCGACAAGGTCGAGGAACGGCTCGGCACCGTCGATCCTAAGAAGATACCAGTCCGTGAGTACTCGTGAATTGTTTATACCCCATTAGAATAATTATCCGTTAATCTCCGGGTGACAGATCCGTTCGTTCGGAGGCCGGGATTTTATTCGACGGCGATGTGCAATTACTTACGGTGCTTCGAGAGATAGCGAAATTGGCGCTTGTTAAGTTTCCTTCGATCGTCGACAGTGATTGCCGGGGTATAAAGTTTAAACTCTCTAAGAATATATACAAGAAAGTGGGAAACGACCATTGCTATGCTTATGGCGTGACCATGGAAACGCGCTGCTTTCAAAGTACTTGCCGTTGAATAAAGTTAGAAACTAAGCAAATTGCCCTCAGGGGATGAACGTTGTAACGCACACGCAAAGAAGGCCAACGCGAAGAGCACACTCACAGCTCAAATTACTCCAATTTTGTAAGACGACTCTCGATGGTTACGATATTTTTCCGCTTGGCGCGTAAAACTCGAGGCGACTCCTCGAAACTGTTTACACTTTGATACATTCCAGGCCGCCTTTGAGTTCGACCGACACACACAAACGGGTCATGAGAGCTTTGACCTGTTTCTATTATTGTAGATTCTAATTCTACTCACAGATTTCTTTAGTGAAAATTTAAAAGTATCATTTCTTCGCGAGACGTTTATGCAAACTAACTTCTCTCTCGTTATTATTTTCGATGATCCTTTTATCTATTTACCGAAGGGATGCGAAGAAACAACATCCTCGGTTTTACGGTGCGGAGGCGAGACGAAGATAAAAATAGAATGGAAAAAGAGACGGACGCAGTGAAGAGGCGTTATACCTGGTTTGTACCGTGGGAAACGGATTGCGAGGTGTCCCGAAACGGAGTTTCACCTGGGCAGGGTACATTAGCTCCTACGGATGGAGGCATAAAGAGTTCCTTATTCTCGGTTCTAAGTATCCTAATGCTAAACGTTTATCTCGAAAACAAGAAACAAGAGACTTGAAAAAATTAGGTTACAAAGATCATTAATAAGTCGTTTGAAGATATCAAAATTATCCACTTCAGTCTCTGAAGTTGTAATTGGGGATAGATAATGCTTGAGCTAACGAGTTTAAAAGAACCTATAATAGAATCTCTAGTAGAATAACAAATCTTTAATCGTGTATACTGCATTTAAAAAGAAAAATATATAAATTTAATATAAATATATATTATATATAAATAATTTATATATTTATATATATTATATAAATATATAAATTTAATATAAAATAAATTTATTAAACTATCGACTTTTATCCATTTCCAAAGGTTTAGCAGCAGACCAAATTGTGAATTATGAATATTGTATATAATGCTTAGAAATATGAAAGAGGTTTGGAAATGGGCATATAAATAAGAATTACATTATACGAATTTAAATTTTTCTACGTTGTAACTCTACAAATTCTCGAGCAACAAAATTTAAAAAATGTTGTTTCTACATTGAATGAACATTCCTATTTGCGGCGCTTAAAAGTTCATAAAAGGACCTTAAAAATTGGATTATCGCGAGGTATAACATTGTTAAAGCTCTTTCGTCGAATTTAACGTTTGAAAGGATTAGTTATAAATTCCGGTCACGCCTGAATGCGGCAGCGATTGAAGAGCGCAATTGAAAGGCCGGAGGAAAAAGTTCTCACCGACCGAAATTGCTTTGGCTCTAGTTTAAGTATCATCGGCGCCGCCCGCGGGAAATTAACGTCAGGTTTGACTTGGTGCCGCTTTTTACGACGCACGATCTCCGTTACTCCGAATACCCATAAAACCAAGAAAACTACGATTTATCATCGCGCGATTTTGCCGTGAAAACAACGATGCACTTTTCTTTCCGAGATTAGTGTCGACTTCTCGAAAGTGTACTGACATATATATTGCTCCTTTTCATTATTCCATGAATGCATCATTATAAATGTTCTATTGCAACAGAAATTAAAAGAGAAAAAAAATATCTTTTTAATCTTTTACTTTCATTTATATTACATCTGAAAACACATCACACTCATACCTTTCTTACCATTATTATAAAATCTATCGTATAAAATATTTCACGTTAATTCGCTCTAATTTACGTCATTTCATAAATTGATTTACGACATTTGATATAAATTGCTTTGACTTGCAAATAGTTAGATGGCTCACTCCTAGCTTCTATCTAAGATCAGAAATCGCGATTATGTTGCCAAGAATGCTGTCTATGGCGAAATGTCAGGGTGAATGTTTATCCCATGGCCTCCATCGACAAACAGCTGAGGCTTCTTTCTCTGTCCCGATCCAGGGAGAAAACGTCCTCCACCCTTAGGGATCGTTCGTTCGGCCTCGTAAACGCCTATAGGAAAGAAACCGCACTTTTTTTCCAGCCTCCTCGTACCGCCAGTCCTGCAAAGACGCTGCTCGCTGAGACAGCTGACTCAGGTAATCGGCCGCACAAACGGCGCCGGGCCTCGGATTCTTCCCCGCGGGTCGGTGGGAATTTTAATTCCCAAGGGTGAAACAGGCTCCTTCTTCGCCGGCGGGAAGAAGCAGATAAAATAACGTCTGCCGGGTGTAATTTAATGCCGGTGCGCGCGTTTGTACGTCTCGAATAATATTCGATTTGTGAGAGGGAGAGCATTATTCGCTTATCAGAATTTATTTTCAAAAATGTTTCTCCGAGCTTCGACTTCTTGCGTCATTCAAACACGACTGCCACACGACGATCACAAGTTAATGTAGTATTTTTATTTCTCGTTTTTATTTATGTATGGCGTTATTTATCATTTATACATATATGGAATTATATGTACCAAGACGCTTTGAAAGATTATTAAGACATCGTTGCAGCACGATTTAATAATTTATTACGTTTGCTAGATGGTATTCCTATGCGCCGCCGACATTTAACGTAACTTCTCTCGAAGCTACACGAGAGCGGCGAGCAGCGCGGTTGAAAGTATGGCTAGCCTTGAACCTTCAGGCTCAAGTATCTCGCCAGGGATATCGCGGATCCTGGTGAAATCAGAATTTACGCTCTCGAGGGGACACCGAAGTCGAGACGAGAGGAACGGAGGGGTGAAAAAGAGAAGGAAAAGAAGCGACTATTGACATAAACATCGCATACTACATAAATAAACAATTTTATGGATGTGTGTGTTGTACTTAATTCTAGAGAATTTCTCACTAAGAATTTCACGCAAAATACGTGTGTTTTACTTGTAAACACATGGGATTCCAGTCTGTAAGATTTCACTTGCTCAAGAAGAAATACAAGTTAAAATTATTAGTAATGTTTAATTATATAAATATTACCGAGTACACAATACACTTCCAGGAAAATCATTTGATAAAGTAATTAAACTTGGAATTAGCAGAAACAGGATATGCAAATTTTGATCTTTAATTTCTTTGGTTATCTAAACGGATAAATGGATAAACGTTGTTTTATGTCAAACAATGAGACCCGTGTAAACAGTCGGTTACACAAACGTGTATAAATTTCATAATATTCAGGATCATAATATTGACTTCGGAAATCTAATGTCGGTTAATGCGGTTCTGTAATGTCGCATCGAGTGCGCGCGTCGAGAGGAGCGCGCAGTCAACCGGCTTCTGCGGAAATGGCCATACGCAGGATGTAGTGTTCGACCTGGTCGAGCAGGTTCACCAGCACTCCGAACCAGGAGTGAAGTTAGTTTGATAGGCTTCCCATTGAGGAAGGCCATCCGGCTTAGGGAAAAAAATACTTATCTTCCGATTCTGTATTAATTGACAACTAAACTTGTTTTTTGTTTGTTTTGTACTTGGAAAAACTTGTTGGTTATATAAGGCGACGCTATGGCAGCATGAGAAAACAAGTGATTCTGTTTAAACGTTTACTAGAATTACCGCGCATTGTTTCTCTCCGATGGAAACATTGACTATCAGTTTTTAGTGCTGCGTTTAAAAGCACGAGCGAAGATTTTTTTTATCGCCTTATTGTTTTTCTCAAGGATGGAAAGAGGAATGTTGAAGTTTACTTTCACGTGTTATTAGCCAGTTTTTCATCTAGTGTTAAACACTGAAATTGCGCGAAGCCGCTCGCTTTTCTCTGGGCACACACTGATATTTCAAATTTACTGTTGCCCTTTTAGGCAAATATACGAGAGCCTCCGCTACCTGCTTAAATAATCATATTTTAATGAAGGCATTAATTCATAAGCACGTTCTGCAACGTTTCCTCTTTTAAATTCATGATAAAGCATGGTAATTTCATTTGTGGCTGCGCTATTTGCGAAAGTACATATGTCTCATTTTTTTAAATCGATCATAAAAGATTGATATGCTCTAATAAGTGTAAATTAGATTATAGATATGATATGTCCAGAATACATTCGATTTGAAGTTCCACTTCCTTCGAGAGATACAGCAATAACGAATTTTTGTAAAATAACAGTGCTTCGAAATTTTTAAAACATGTGGCTTACAAAATAAAAAATAGATATGGCTTTTTATGTACTGTTAACGTATAATCTCATTAAAACTTGTTTGAAATCTCATGATCGTTATATACATATAATTTTCTCTCTCCTGGTAATGGAAAATTTTACACTAATGCTACTTGAAAATTAAAGAGTTTCTTGCGTCAGCTGTTCAGTTCGAATTTTCCCCCTTTCTTATCCCGTGAACCCCGCTGCGGATATCATGGACCCCCGTGTACGAATAATAACGACGCGGACGGAAATAAAAGTGGGCTGCAACGGTCCTCGGCTGCAGCTCCGCGCGTCTCCGGGTTTTTCACTACCCCTCGTCGTTGCCTCCTTTATTTCGTCACCCGGCTTCTTACTCTTACTTCCGGTTGCCAGCTGGCATCGAAGAATCGGGAGGGGGCTCATCGAGGGGTGACGCAAGCACGAGAGAGGTAGGGCATCTAAGGCAGGGGGACTTTCCCCGCTTAATTTTAGCCGGCTTGACACCGCGGCACGTGCTCCGAATAAAACTGCTCTTTACCGCTTTAGAGTACATCGCTATGGAAAAAATTTGTCCCTAGG